ACATCGTGGCTGGCTGCCGCCTGCTGCCGGACATCCGTGGTGTGCCGGGGACCGAACCCGAGCAAGACCCGGGACCGCGGGCCTAGCAATGACTCTACACCTCCACCTGACTCTGCCTGTTTCGAGTAGGCCTTGCCGCCTCTGGGACCTGGCTCTGTCCAATGTGCACATTATCACTCCTACCCCCATCTTGCTGTCACCCTCGGGGTTAACCTCGCTTCTCTGGATAGTATTCTGTGTTGGGCATGGGTTCATTCCTTGTTGTGGAGACCAGTTTCCCCCTCCCCTTAGATCTGATTCCTTCCCCTAGGCCTGCCCCTGCCCCTGGGCCTTGGCATTGGGGCCTGGCCCAGCCTGCTGATTCTGAGCCTGACCCAGGAGATTGGCTCCAGTCCCTGGAGAATAGCTGCTCCTTGATGATTCCACCCGGGCCTCACTGGGCCCCGCGTTTCCTTGAGCTCTGCCTCTCTGAGTGTGGTTTCTGCTCACAGGGGCGTGTCCTGGTTCTTCCCACAGGAACCCCAGGATCTGGCACAAATTTCCTGGCATCTTCCTTCACTTCTTGGTCCTAGGACCTCTGGTCCTAGTTGCACCTTAGGATTTCCCCCCCCCCTAGACTGGGTCCTTTTTCTGCTCCCCGGGCTTGGCCCTGGTTCACCTCCTGGTTCAAGTTCTTGCTGTGCCATCTCCTGGCTCTTCCTCCTTGAGCTTAGCGCCCTCCCCTCAGCCTGATCTTGTTTCCTGCAGCTATACCCTTAGCTGTATGGACCCATCCTGCTTATACTGCCTACCCTGGGCTCTGGCGACTCCCTATATTTCCTTCCTCAGGCCCAAAATGATGCCCCCTCCTGACCCAAGGGGGTCTTCCTCCTGACTCTCCAGGCCAAGATGATGCTCCCTCTCAACTCTCCACGCGAAGGTGGCACCCCCCCCACCCCCCCTGACTCTCCAGACCTTAGGTGATGTCCTTCAGGCACTTAGGGCCTAATTCAGCCCTGCCCTGGTGCTTCGCAATGCGACACCACTTGGCAGATAAGAGCCATCTTCAGGGTGTTCACTGTTGATTCCTGGGCGCTAAAAGGACTTGGATTTCTGACTTGCCTCAGGGGCTCTGATTAGCAGCCTCTTTCTGCTCCTTCTCACCTGCTCCCTCTTTGGTCCTGGCTCTAATCCCTCAGCCACATTCATACTTACTCCCCTCCCCTGAGCCTATTCCTCACCCACCTCCCATCCCAGCCTGAAGCTGAGATCCGAGCCCCTAGGATGGAGAAATGGGGAAGAGCTCTCTATGGCAGATTCATTAAAACTCAAAACATTTCCCATATGGTCGATTCCTCTTGTCTCTACTTTTAAGTTGGGGTTAGGTTGGTTGGTGAGTTATCTGAGAATGGGGGTCCCAAGACTTATTAAATGTGTAACTATAGTTATTAAGTGTAAAACTGTAGTTGGGAAATCAGAGCCCCTAATTTTGTTGCCTTGGTTCTGCATTTATTTGTAATTCAACACACATTTTTTGGGTACCTGTCCAGTGC